TTTTGTGCAAACTATTTTCAAACTTGGTGTGAGGATTTTGAATCTTACGAACCCTTATAGTTTTGGGATTGATGTTTGACTATTTATTTATGAGTTTGTGTTGGTTGATGAAAACCGCTTGTGAAAACCGGGTAATGAATCCCCGTAGGCCCAGATAAGACTTGGGTTATGAAAATGTTAGTTAACACCCACTAAGTTTTCGAAAATGATTTTGAAAATTTTATACTGGTTTTTGGAAAATTCGAAATTTCTGTAAAATCAAAGTGGGGTGTTACAAGACAGGTAAAGATGCGGAGGTTCTCGAGGAGGTCAACCAGGTGGTCGAGGAGAGGCAGCGCGAGGTGCGTGACTTGCTCGAGGAGTTCGACCAGGTCCTCGACGAGCCCAAAGGACTGCCGCCACACCGAGAGTTCGACCACCGCATACCTTTGGTCGAAGAAGGTCGAACAGTGCACGTGCATCCGTATCGATACGCACACTTCCAAAAGACGGATATCGAGCGACAGGTGGGCGAGATGCTCGAGTCCGGGCTCATCCAGCATAGCTCGAGCCCGTTCTCGTCACCGGTGTTGCTCGCAAAGAAGAAGGACGGAACTTGGCGATTCTGCATGGACTACCGCGCTCTCAATGCGGCTACTGTGAAGGATCGTTTCCCCATTCCGAGCGTCGACGACATGTTGGACGAGTTGGGTGGCGCGCGTTACTTCTCTAAGCTCGATCTACGCGCGGGCTACCATCAGATCAGGTTGGCCAAGGAGGACGTGCCCAAGACGGCTTTTCGTACGCACCAAGGGCACTACGAATATCTCGTGATGCCTTTTGGGTTGTGCAATGCACCGTCGACCTTTCAGTTTGCCATGAACTCGATTTTTAATAGGTACCTACGAAAGTTTGTATTAGTATTCTTCGATGATATTTTGGTATACTCGAAAACATGGGCAGATCATCTCGAGCACTTGTGAGTCATTTTGGGGATTTTGGAGGCTAACTCATTCTACATCAAACCGTCCAAGTGCTCGTTTGCTCAAGAGGTGGTCGAGTACCTTGGGCACTTTATTTCCCATGAGGGCGTTAAGGTGGACCCAAGGAAGATCGAGGCAATGGTGGGGTGGCCGAAGCCCACGAGCTTGACACAGTTGCAAGGGTTCCTTTGTCTTACGGGCTATTATCGCAAATTCGTGAAGGACTATGGTACCATCGCGAAGCCACTCACCGAGATGACGAAGAAGGGGGCGTTCAAGTGGACGGAGGCGAGCGAGAAGGCTTTCGAGGAGCTGAAGGAGGCCATGACGACCACGCAAGTGCTCGCAATGCCGAGGTTTGATGTGTTGTTCGAGATTCATTCAGATGCGAGTGATATTGGAATCGGGGCTGTTTTGGTGCAGGAAGGACGACCCTTGGCCTATCTCAGCAAGGCACTCGGGCCAGCGCGCTTAGGGTTGTCTGCATACGTAAAGGAAATGCTGGCCGTGGTCGAGGCCGTGCGCATGTGGAGGCCGTATTTGCTTGGGCGACACTTTCGGATTGTCACGGACCAGCAGCCGCTCAAGCACTTGCTCGAACAAAGGATCGTGACGCCCGAGCAGTAGAAGTTCGTGTCCAAATTGATGGGGTTCGACTTCGAGATAGTGTATCGACCTGGTCGCCAGAACACCGTAGCCGACGCATTGTCTCACCGGGAAGACGTGGCCGAACTCGACGCAGTTACGGGGCCGACGTGGGCCGTTTGGGCAGAGCTTCGGAAGGCGCAAAACGAGGATGCGCATTGTCAGGACGTGGTCAAGAAACTGAACGAGGGACGCGACGAGGACGAGGACCATGACATACACGATGGCCTGCTTCTTTATCATGGGCGAGTCGTCGTGCCCGAGGCGGGATCGTTGCGCGAGGACATCATCCGGCACTTCCACGACTCGAAGTTGGGAGGACATTCCGGGGTGTTCCGGACATGGATGAGGATTGCGAGCACTTTTCATTGGCCAGGGCTAAGGGGCGATGTGCGCGACTACGTTGGGCGATGTGATGAGTGCCAACGCACTAAGGCGGACGCGCGTCGACCAGGCGGGCTGCTACAACCCTTGCCGGTCCCCGCACGTATTTGGGAGGTACTTGTCGAATGGGAGGATTTACCGAGCGAGGAAGCAACGTGGCAAAGTTGGGACGAGATGCGCGAGATGTTTCCCGATTTCTTCCTTGAGGACAAGGAAGCACTTGAAGGGGACGGGAATGATGAGAACACGGCAAGGAGATTAAAGAATGCTGCGAGCCGCGCTTATCATGCACGACGGAGGTTAAGCCGACGGGCTGCCTAGGCCCAACTCATTAGCGGGCATGCGCGAGCGGACGGTGACGCGCGCGAGAATCTCGGCCAAGGGTGCATTAGCGCGGGTACAAACGAGGAGGTTCACGCGCGAGCAGGCCTAACCACGCAAGGAGTAGGCGAGGCGGGCGCGCGAGGGCAGCACGCACGCAATAGCGGCTTGAATCGCAAGCAAGAGATATTCTAGATATTTGTTTCCTTGTTTTCTAGTTTGTTTAGGACTCCTAATATTTTATTACTTTATTAGAGTTATAGTTATATTAGGACTAGATCTAGTTGATGCCTATATAAAGGCTCTTCCTCTTGTTAATTTATTCATTCAGAAATTAATACAAAAATCCAAACTTTTGTTCAAACACTTTGCTCTGGTTTTCTTCTTGAATTCTTTTGCAATTTTATTCGTTAGAAAGGCTGCGAGTGTGCGACTTCCTAACACCTATCGAGCGATTTAAGGCGCGAGAGCGGCTTGTCGACAGTCGGGACACACGATCTTCATCACGCCCAGTCAGCGTCCGCACGGCCAGCCAGTCAGCCAGCAACCGCAGCCAGCCAGGCAGCGCCCATGCGCGCAGCACTCGGTAGGCCGCTGGCCGAGCCAGCATCCGACTGCCCGGTTCAACAGACCGGCAGTTCGGTCTAGACCAGTTCAGACCGGCTGGACCGGTTCAGTCAGTATTCTTCAGTTTCAGTCCCGGTTCGTGATTTCTGTGTTATTTTCAGTTAAAATTCCGGGTTCAGTTCAGTCCAGTTCAGTTCAATTAATTATTATCAGTTCAGTTTCGTACTTAAACGGTTTCAGTTATACCGATTAAGTCTGAATATCATGTCAGGATCAGTAGAGCATCTTAACATAATTAATCAGTTAATTTATCAGTCTGAGCATAGTCAGTAGTAATTGTTTATATTATATTTTAGTTTGATCAGGCATCAGCACTACCTTCAGTTTCACGGATCAGGTGGGGACTCAGACTAAGTACTACATTGATTATAATTACGCGACCATGTTTGAGGTATGTATTATCAGTTCAGTATCCGCTTGGAATGGTCGCCAGTCCATTCTGGGTTTT